ACATATATATATATATATACATACATACATACATACATACATNTATATACCTTACATGTCTTCTTCTTTTTAAATATACCGGATGATATATAATTTCAATATGCAATTGTTAAATACAAAATATGTTGATATATAGGGGGATCACATATATTAATATACAGGATATAATTAAATATTAGATACATGTATCCTATCAAATTATCAATTCGATATACGAGATTATACAGTAATTTTTTAGGATACAATTATCTTTTCTTAATTGTATTTTATTCGTAAAACATATTTGAAAGATAATATTTTGAGTTAAAAAATAGGAAGGAAAAGATTGGAGTTATTATATCTTACTAGTATCTGTACCCTCACATTGCACGGAGAATATTAAATATAATTTTTTCATAAAAAAATATTACTTGAAAAATATGGTAGACATAAAAGAGCTTTCAAATGCTATTATTTAATAAACATATAAATCCACTAGATATTCATACATTGAAGTAATAAGAAAACATATGTATCCATTAGAAAATAGGTAGTGAGGAAATCATTTTTATAAACATATAAATCCACTGGATATTCATACATTGAAGTAATAAGAAAACATATGTATCCATTAGAAAATAGGTAGTGAGGAAAGCATTTTTATAAACATATAAATCCACTGGATATTCATACATTGAAGTAATAAGAAAACATATGTATCCATTAGAAAATAGCTAGGTAGTGAGGAAATCATTCATAATAAAATGCAATCTTGGATGATTGGCCATATTCTGATTCTCACAAATTTATTAGTACCATTTGTAAAAGGCCATTTTTACTACACAATATGTTTGTACAAATTAACAAAGTTCTTAAAGGCACAGGACAAAATCTTTCTTCGATCCAGTTTTAAACCGTCAAGCATTGATGGAATAGTCCTTCGTATCATCCATTGAAAATAGAATAAGCTCTTGGTTAATAAATTCAGTATACGAAATGTACTTTTCTTTCTGGTCTAGATGGGTATTAGGCTGCATAGTATAAAAAATAGAGAATGATGAGTCAAATTAGAAATATTTGATGCTAATCAAAATAAAATAAAAGTATTAATGGTCCCAACCTCAAGTTGTTTAAGCCAATTCTTTGTTGCTTATATCTTCTTCTGACTGAAAGTAAGTTCTATGAATTTCCCATCTTCTACCCGCTAAAATAATTTTTATTGTGTTTTTAAAGATCTTGAAAGTACTCATTTCCTTATTTTAAAGTACTTGTTCCCGACTCTTATCAAAACAATAAAGAGAATAATTAGTAGAAAACCAAGTTTGATGGTTTTATAAAATATTTGGTGTAAAGTCTTGTAGTACTTAATGGACCAACCACTTTAATTGGCACCCAAACTCTATCTTCATGACTCATACTAGACAAGATATAAAATGGCAATATCTTCACACTTGTGTAATTAGCATCTGATTAAGCCCTGAAATAATTTTTTAGCTATAGTGAAGATACATATTATAAATAGGGATTTGAATTTAAAGATTAAAACATGTCCTCGGATGCATTAAAGTTGATAAGTTTGTTATGCATAATAGAAATGATACAATCAAATATAGCTAGGAAGAAAACTTCAGCCTAATCCAATTTGTTAGAAGTAGTTATTTAAAATTGAAGTTAAACACTTTCACATCTTATGCAAAATTTTATCTTTTTACTTAAACTCAAATTTTTCTTTTGTTATTCCACTTCAATTTTATATTAGAGTTTTTATAAATTTTCTTTTGTTATTCCACTTGAAAGTTATATTAGAATTTTATTAACTTTGTCCTAAGGTTTAAAAGTATTTTATAATGCACGAAAAATTCTCTTGAATATGAATTTTAAAGAGAAAAGTAAAACCATAGATTCATAATCTTCAAAAAAAGAATTTATTGAGTAACCCGTGTACCCCATGTTTAGTTAAACTTAAAGGCTTGGTATTGAATATTTTTACAAAATATATTATTGTACCTTTTCAGATTGTGATTTAACATATATTATTGTGAGTACTCACACATACAATAAAAACTATTTTTCTTAGATTTTTTTAGTTATTTATTCTTTCTTTATACTAAGGAATTACTACTCAATTAATCAGTATTGTGAAGGAATGTAGAAACACACTTTGGTGGTATAAGATAAATGATGATTAATTAAAAAAAAAAGGGTGTCAGAATAAAGGACTCTCAGAATCAGTATGAAATATTCCATACATGAATATAGTTTTTCAAGGAAAATCAAGAAAGCATAAGTTAATCAAGCAAAGAAATAACAAAGAAATATCAATTATTAGTTAAGCTATATAAATAAATAAAAAGTACTAAAATGAATTATGCATCATTTTTATCGTTAAGCAGTATAATAGCATATATGAAATGTTAAAGAAATTAAAAACTCAAATTAGATTCTCATAATATATAAACGTCAATTAATTTAGATAATACTTTCACTATAACACAAAAGGATAAAGTACAAAACTTTATGATAACCAGATAACAATTCATCTTTAACCCCCACTTTATTTTTTAATAAAAAATATCAATTCACCTTTTAAACATGCTAGGAGATTAATTATGTACAGTAATCAAGATCTATCAGACGATAAAGAACCCAAAAAAATACATTTAGAAAAAGGCAGAAATAATAGGATTAATTTTATGCCTACAAAATCAAGCCAACATGATTGAATCACTATAAAAGAGTAGAAAGCTAGCTTTTCACTTTGATATTGAATAGAGACGAAGTCAATTTAACTTACAAATATTAAAAGAAAACATAATAAAATAACATAAAATTAACTTTTAATTGCGATTTTGCTCCATGTGTATCCAAAAACTCGGCACAAAAAATAGCAAAATGTCTATAAGAAAACATTTGAAGCAACATACTCTGTTTTAAAATGTTTCATGGATATAAAATTGGAATAGTTTATTCGATTATGTTACTCTATAATAAAAAGAAACAAAGAAGAAGAAATAGAAGACATCAGAAAAGAAGAAAGTGAAAAGAGAAGGAACAGTTACCAATAAAAAAAAGACATCAGAAAAGAAGAAAGTAAAAGAGAAGTAACAGTTACCAACAAAAAAAAGACATAAAAACGATGAATATTTCAATGATAAAACATTATTTACAATTTTACATTTAGATACTCAATCTCCTACTTATAACCTTGGACCAAACAAAAGAAGAAGATAAGTAAGGAAAAAAAGGGATTAGAGAAATGAAAACCATAAGAAATGTACTAAATTGGTGAAGATTATTACCAGCACAAATCAATAATTTTACTTGTTTTTTCGCTCCAAGTTCTTTTGTAATCACGACCTGCTATACAAATCACTCCTTGTCCTAAATACATATGTAGATGAAAAAGTGGGAAAAAAAACTTTCTACCTTTAGATCATCTTCATTGGTAAATTTCTTCTCCTTTGTTGATTTTTTTTTCTGCCTTGAGCGCCATTGTAATTGAAACTTGAAGCGTTAGGAATTGAGAACATATGCGTTTGGTGAGGATTGTAACTGTTGCCTTGTCTATCTCCTTATTATTAGGAATTGTAATTGTAACTAAAGTAAAATCGTGAAGGCTTTGACTTGAAAGAGGACTTCAAAAAGATGGTAATTGTTGCTTTGTCTATCTCCTTATTATTAGGAATAATAACTCTAATTAAACGTGAACTTTTAAGATAATTGATTGATTATTCTTAACCAAAAAAATCTAATTTCCAATTCTAATTCTAATAAATACAGTAATAAATAGCTGCCCAACATGTGAGGCAGATCCATAGCCACGATCAATCGTGGAGTTTTTTTTTTTTTTTTTTTTTTTTTTTTTTTTTTTTTTTTTTTTTGCTTTATTACTATGTCTATGCAAAAAGTTTTTGATGAATTTATAAGGTCTTTAATAAATGAAATAAATAACTAATGAAAAACCTGGGAATCTAGAATTGAAACAACTATTTTTTTAGTTTTCAGTCTTACAAAGTTTGTGCCAAAAAATGTGGGACTCCATGAAGTTAATAACTGAATTGGTTAATATTAAAATTTTGTAATTTCTTTTTTATTTTAAAATTTTTTGAATTCCAAAAATATTGGAGTTTTGTCCTAAAATATAACAGGTGTTGATAATTCATTTTGACATTTGACACAGTATTATGAATTTGTCTCTCCTTTTCTATATTAAAAATAGATAGATAGAAGATTCCCTCCTCTGATTTAGGAATCTATTATGTTATTGTTAAGATTAGTTGCCATAATAGATTTGTAACCGCCGAATTTGCTGCCAGTTTTGTTAATTATGAATTTCTGCTATGCTTATGTTAAATTTTCTAGAACAGTGCATACTTATGTTTTTTGCCCTTTTTAATCTGAATCGTCATTCCTTTAAGATCTAACAGCCCATATCCTTCCCCACAACTATATAATATTTCCCAAAACCTAACCCTAAATCCCTTCTATTTTTCCAGCCGTCTCACCCCACACCTCAAACCTTGGGCCGCCAGTGACTGAACCCAAACTCGCCGGAAAATTCAGAAAAACTGGCGAGTCCACGTAAGCCCTAACCCTCTATGGTCCCCTCTCTCTTCCACGTCACCCAAAATTCTAACTAACTCTGACAAGAATATTTTTTTCCATCTAACCAAAAGTGGGTATCCGTGCAGTGGACCAATGGCTCATGGGCCTCTGGCCCAAATTTCGGCGATGGCAATCAATCCAAAGGTAGACAAACTTCGGTTTCTCACTCACTCTCTATTTCTCCAGTGCTTTATCTTTAATAAGTGTGACGTGTCCAAACTCCACTTATTGGCATGCACCATTGTTGACATTGAATTCACTAAATAGAAAGGCATGCACCACTCTGACAGTAGTGACGTTAAGTTTCTCATACCAAAAAATAAAAATAAAAATAAAAAAATCACTTAAATGGCAAATAAGACAGATTTATTACATTGAATTCTTCTAAACGGCCTTGTCTAAGATTAGGCTCAATTCTCAGGTTCTTCTGTTACTCCTCATTTGCGTCTTCTCTTTTACATTTATCGATGCTTATATCTAATATTTGACGATTTGTTTCTAGGAAATTTCTCTCTTAGTTCATACTTGTTCTCTTCCCCCTTCTTTTCGTCTTCTGGAATTATAATTATTTCTCACATTAAAGGATCTAATTTCACATTAAGTTTAGATTACGAGCTTTAATTGGGATGTGGCTGAGATAAGGGCAATTGACCAATCTTCGTTTTTAGTAAACTTTTGGTGAACCCATGCGGTTTCTGCTAGCTATTGAGTGCAGAACCGTATATTTGTATCAGAACAATTTTCCACAACATCAATAAATTATTACTTTATTTGAAAAAAAAAATAAGCTCCTTGGCATGGCTCGAGGTTGTTGAAAAAAGCTGGAAACGTTTTTGTGTAGATTGTTTGGTAAAGAAGGCTGACTACAGTTGCATAGATAGGTGAATTTGATACTTTATTGGTTGATTATGTTTAAAAAATTTCATTTACTTTCTTACTTGGTAGATTAATCACACGCGACACAACTCGTTTCCGGTGGTACTCAAACTCAGCAGTTAGCAATGATCACCTGAACTTTCATTAATAAGAGTTTCTTAATTTGGGGGAACAGCTTCAATTGATGAATACAATTTTCTCTATTCTTACTCGTAGAGAAAGACAAATTGTTTGTGAATATGTCTTAGCAAAAGTTGATAACCTTATGTCAGGTTTATAGTTTATTTGCTCCTTTCCATTTTAACTCTTTTAAGGAGTAATTTTTGTTAGCAAGCTGAACTCTTTTGGGCCAAACCGGAGGCTGTTACATTGAAATTCTATAAATCTCAGCTTTGTGTACCTAAGACTTCTGCGTTGGTTGGGTTGTGTTATGCCCTTTTATTTGGTCCAAATTAACCTACCACTATTGACTCGAGCAAACTTTCGGTGCATTGGATCTTAACTTTGTTTCACTAAATCCGTTTTAACTAGTCCAAATTTTATTCGACCTGCCCCTTTGACATCTCTAGTTGGGGATGAGCAATATGGTATCAGAATGAGTTCATAGGCTACACAGATAGCTATGTTTATTCCTTTGATATGATTCTTTACGCTGTGGAATGGAAAGTTAGTATATATTTTCTCCTAATATTGAATACTTCTATGCCTCGTACCCATATGCACTTATACAGTTTTGATGGTGACCAGGAAGCTTAAAATGAATTCCAAGTAATAGTAGTGTTACTTTTGATGGAATCATGATACACAGATGTTTGTATATTGATTTATGTCTACATTTGACTTCAAGATTAAATTCATGCATTTAGCTTTATTAGCGTGCCAGTATATCTCATTTATTCACATAATGTGAACATAGGTTTCTGTTTCTGCGTGGTAGATATTGCTCTCCATGTCTGTTGAACGAACTTTGAAGAAGCTGGTTTCTGGTGTCATCCTTGATTTGGATGGTACACTTCTTAATACAGGTTGGTAGTGCTAGTCTTGTTTGACTTTACACTTTTTTTGAGAATCGTATTTTTTTTTTTGAGAATATTGACTTTACACTTGTAAAATTATATTCTTGGCCATTCTCCTAGATCATTCATGGTATTTGTTCTTGATAACTATGAACTTCTAATCATTCAAAATCATAAGCCAGAGTTCCTTTCATTTCCTTCCAATTTTTACATTGTCCAATAGCAATATGAAATGAGTGGAAACTTTGGAAAAATATATTCACTATTTCACTATCTTTGACTTTTGTAATCTTTACTCTAACTGTAGATTGTAGTAAAAGTTTTTTTATTGTTTTGAAGTTCTTTTATCAAATTATCTTGTTTGAGAATATGCTTAATATGAGATTGCTTAGTGTGCCAGCAGCTATTTGGAACTTCTATGCAGAATTTGAGATGCACTCTGGCTCTCAAAGATGATGATATATTATTGTGAAGTCCCTCTTGTGCGACAGAAATTCCTTGCTGTTATAGAGTTAACAGCTGCATAGTATCAAACTTTATATTGCAAATGTCTTCCCTTTGTGCATTTGCGTTTCTTATTAGCCTCCAGTTTTCCAGTTTTAATTTGACCTCTTTGTGTTGACAGATGGTGTTGTGAGTGAGATTTTAAAGGCTTTCTTAGTTAAGTATGGAAAGCAATGGGATGGGAGAGAAGCTCCTAAAATAGTCGGGAAAACCCCTACAGAAGCTGCAGCTGCAGTTGTCGAAGATTATGGGCTCCCATTATCAACAGATGAATTTCTTTCACAATTTTACCCAATGCTCTCTGACCAGTAAGAAACCAGCAAAAATAGTTTCATTTCCTTTCTATTTATTGATTGCTACAAACTGAAATTGAATAGACTATTGGAGGATTATTCACACTAAAATATTAATAGGCAGACTCTTTTCCTTAAATCCTATTAATGGATGTTAAGAATAATGTTACAAAGTAAAACAGTATGCTGTTTTATAGTTGGAGCATGATGATAGATTGCAAATTAGTTAGTAGAGAAGAGAGGACTAGAGAACAGAGTTTTGGGGTGTTCGTTTCAAAACCCTTATTGAAAATTAAGTAGGTACAAGTGGTAATTAAATTGTGGAGAATTGCTAATAGGGGAACCAAGCTTTGATCTCCAATTTAGAAAATGCAAATATACATGTTTCTTTCTTTTTATCTTTTTTGCTTTTGGTGATATATATTTATTTATTGATTAGCAAAGAAGATCTCCAAAAGAAATAAAGGAAAAAAAAAGGAATGAAAGAATGAAGCTACATTAACTATTACAAAAAGAAAAAGAAATGACTATGTTTTGTTTGTTCGTCGATCATATGTGTTTCTTGTATGTTGAACTTGTTGGTTTTTAATTTAAATGGAGTGAAGTTTTTCCCTTTTCTTTTGTTCTCCTGTTTTTTTTTTTGGGGGGNACATGATTTTCTTGGCTCTTGCTGAGAGTGAAAGCAATACTGGATTGGTGTTACCTTTAGAATTCTTTTCTTTGAGCTAGTAAAACTCTGATTTTCATTCTCTGATTGCTTGCGAGAGCTTCTGCTATATTGTTGTGGAACTTGTATATCTTTTGTATTCTGCAGATACTTTCCAGTCCTAAGTTCTTATAGAACTTTGTTAATCATTTTGATATAGGTGGCGCAATATCAAAGCTCTTCCAGGGGCCAATCGGTTGATTAACCATTTGAGGGGTCATGGTGTACCCATGGCATTGGCTTCAAATTCTTCTCGGTCTAACATAGAGACCAAAATTTTTCATCATCAGGGTAGGGTTTTAAAATCTAGTTAGAGAGGTATTTCTTTCCTTGTGAAGGTATTTTGTGCCAGTCCAGCATGTAAGATAGCATTTATGCTTGGTGCTTTGATTGGGATATTCTTTATTATTTTCAGGATGGAAAGAATCATTCTCAGCCATTGTTGGAGGAGACGAAGTGAAAGCTGGAAAGCCATCTCCGGAAATGTAAAACTGGATGAATTGTTTATCTTTGTCCTCCTCATTTCATAATCTGGTATTATGGATGTTGAATTAACTCTTGTATATCTTCTTCTGGAAGATTTCTTGAAGCAGCTAAAAGACTCAACATGGATCCATCCAGCTTTCTTGTCATTGAAGATTCAATGTGAGTTTTTATCTTCAAAGATTATGTCGCTATATATCCTATCACAAGCATAGGAGCACGTTAGAAGATCTAACTACTGGTAAATAGAAGGAAGAAAAAGAAGGGTATCAGGGGGGTGGTTTTTCTCCTTAGAAGATATTGAGGGGTTTGTTTGAGTTTATCATACTCAGCTCAAATTTACACATGTTATGATGGATATCAGCATAGGACTGAATAACGTTAGCTACTAACTTCTGACATCATAATTTATAATTTCTATAGTTATTAGATTTTTTTTTTCATGGATAATGAGGTTTAAAATTCCTTGTCATCGCTTTTGCATTTTCTAGGCTGAAATATGGTCCTTTACTCTCTGAAGTCCATATTAGTTTTGAATTGGATGTAGATTGTTTATCTCATAACTTGGTGAAAGTTAACTCGACCGGATACCTATGTTAGACCAGGTGTTACTGCTGGTAAGGCTGCTGGAATGGCAGTTGTTGCTGTACCATCTCTTGCAAAGCAGTCTCATCTTTATACTTCCGCTGATGAAGTGATCACTTCTCTTCTAGATTTGCAACTAGAAAAGTGGGGATTACCTGCATTTCAAGATAGTAAGTCTTTGTGACTGCTTTACTTGTATGGAATGTACTTGATTTCTCTTTCAATTTTTGACTGGAAGCATATGCAGGAATAGAAGGTACTTTGCCCTTAGAACCTTGGTATATAGGTGGTCCTGTCATAAAGGGATTTGGGCGCGGCTCAAAGGTTCTTGGGATCCCCACAGGTATACTCGTCATTATTCCTTCTGCTGAATGGCTAATATTAATGCTTGACTCAGTATCTGTATTCGCTTGAAGTGGCTGTTAGAATTTCTCATAAGTTTGTTATTGGAATTTTAGTTTCTTGTGAACCTATCATATCAGAGATTCTGATTTTATGTCAATGTGTTATTTGCATTCGAACACCTACAATTGTTAGAGGGGCTTGAATGATTATTTTCTTGCCTTGTATGACCTAACAGTTTGATGTTTTTTTTCTATTCTTATGGTATCAAATATTTTTTCAGCTAATTTATCCCCAGAAGGTTATTCAGCCATTCTTTCAGAACATCCAGCGGGTGTATATTTTGGATGGGCAGGATTATCAGCTCGTGGTGTTTACAAGATGGTCATGAGCA